ATGAAGAGAAAAATTCAATAATAGAAAGTGCCAGGTCTGGAAATACAAACCCTAACTATAAAGTCACTTTTCATAGAAATGGAACGGCAAGTATCTCAAAAAAGAAACAGACTCTCACAAATAAAATATTGAAGTCTGAAGGAATTTTCGAGACAACAGATGGAAAAGTTTACTTCACTGACCAACAGTTCATTATAGAACATCTCATTGACTTAGAGTCGAAATATTCTAAACTTTACAACAAACACAAAAAGTTGAAAGGAAAACAAAAACAAATGGCATATGATATTTATGAAGATGTTGACGACACAACCATACCAGCAAGTGAGGTAAGGTCAAATGAACCGAAAAGTGACGAAAAACCAATAGAAGAAGGGAAGCCAAAAACTGAAGATAAACCAAAACCAAAGTTTAGTTTCAATACTAAAAGTCAACCTTCATTAGCTGGTATGGGTTGGCGTCAAAGACTTATGGTAGCAGGTGGTTACGTAAAGTAAAGAGAAAAACATTTTTTTATTTTTATTTGAAATGTACGCTGCGTTGTTGGAGAAGACCGTTGGGAAACTTGTTTGTTAGATGAGAAATATGAAATGGCATACCATTTTAAAACATTTATTTTAAAAAATATATTTTTTTATTTTATTTGAAATGTACGCTGAGTCTGTCGGAAAGGACCATTGGGAAACTTGTTTGTTAGATGAGAAATATGAAATTCACTGTTGTGAGTCATTTGAAGTCAGAAACAAAAAGACAAAAAGAGTTTTAAGCGAATGTGAGCGAAATGACGGATATGCTAGGATGAGGATTGGTGGGAAATGCTATTTTAAACATATTGTCATTGCAACTCATTTTATACCGAACCCTAACAATTTACCTTTTGTAGACCATATAAACCATATAAGAAACGACAATAGACTTGAAAACTTACGCTGGGTCACTTGTTCTGAAAACAATAAGAACATAGGCAAATTTCGAGATATTGTATTCGAATTTGTCGACGAACTAGAAGATGAAGCAATTGAAATTACAGACTATGGTAAGCATACGTTTGAGTTTTACTACTATAGCGAAGAACAAGACTCTTTCTACTTTTATACCGGTGTAAACTATAGGAAATTACAAGTATATTTTACTAAGACGGGCTATGCTCATGTAAACGCTAGAGATACAGATGGAAAATGCGTTCGAATACTTCTTAACAAATTCAAGAAGCTATATGGCATACCATTTTAAAACAGTATATTTTTACATATATTAAATGCTTCAGGTTGAAAAACAAAGAACAAAAGTAGCAGATACAAAACCGTTAGACTATATCTTTACAAATGCTGGTAGGACTATATCAGATGAAGAAATTTCATCCCGAACCACCTAGTAACAGTTTCTCTGACTTTCAAGTTTGGTTCACAACAAATGGTGTGCAACATATTGTTCCATTGTACTACGACTTTTATCTCGAATTGTCTTTCATATATAACTACGGAGAAGTGCTGAAAAAGTATTGAATGTGAAGATATTAGAAAATAACATTTTTTCTAACATCGTAGAAAACTCATGAAAACAATTTATTTTTGTGAATATGCAAGCGGCTCATAGCTCAGTGGTATGGGCTACCTCGCTACAGGCGTCGAAGACCTCGGTTCAAATCCCGATTCGCGCAAGTTTTTTCCTTTTATGCAGTGAAATTTCATGTACATAGGTTACTTTGGTGTTAGACCCTAGTGAAGAAAATAGAACGATATAAGTTTACATTTGTAAGGTTACTTTGGTGTTAGACCCTAGTGAAGAAAATAGAACGATAGGAGTTTACATTTGTAAAGTTGGACGATAAAAATCTCTGCTACTGTCAGTAAAAGTACTGCTACTGTCAGTAAAAGTACTGCTACTGTCAGTAAAAGTACTGCTACTGTCAGAAAAAGTACTGCTACTGTCAGTAAAAGTACTGCTAGTTGCAGTAAAAAGGAAAATTTGAGAGGGTTTTCGACGATAAAGTACTGCTACTGTCAGTAAAAGTACTGCTACTGTCAGTAAAAGTACTGCTACTGTCAGTAAAAGTACTGCTACTGTCAGTAAAAGTACTGCTACTGTCAGTAAAAGTACTGCTACTGTCAGTAAAAGTACTGCTACTGTCAGTAGCAGTACTGCTAGTAGCAGAGATTTTTATCGTTTGTGGTCCGACGGTTAAGCCACAAACGAATGTCCGACGTCCCACCAAAAAATATTTTTTATTTTTATTGTAAGAACTGAAATGACAGTCGAAGCAAAAACGTTCACGAACAAATCTAATGGCGAAACATTCACAAAAGGCACTTACAACGGTATTGAAGTCTTACGTAGAGACATGGATGGTTATGTAAATGCAACAAATATGTGTCAGCAGTTTAGGAAAGACTTTAGAAAGTTGTTGGAAAATAAGTCCTGGGAAGAGTATTATACGGCATTTTGTGAAGAATATACCAACCGCCGGAATTCCGACGGTTGCTTTTTATACAAAGTTCATGCAGGAATTCCGGATGAAATCAAACAGGTTAGAGGAATGTATGTAGACCCAAGACTTGTAAACTATATAGCAATGTGGGCTTCACCAAAATATTGCATAGCAGTTGGAAAAATTCTGGACTCCATAGACAAGAAAGTTCATGAGAAGTTAGATGAAGAAGAAGAACTCGAAGATACAGTAGAAAATGCTAAACCTTTGTTCGAAGAAGAAGTTAGAAAAATGCATGAAAAACAAATAGAACATGAACGTGAGATATGTTCTGGTTATAGAGACTCGCCATACGAACTAGACCAATGGGAACAAGAAGATTTAAAGAGAGAATTTAGAGAATATGAACTCGCCAAGATAGCATTAGAAGCTGCAGAAGAGAGGTTAAAAGTTTGGGGTCGTTTTGTACAAAAATATTGTGAGTAAATGAACCATTTATTTTTATTGAAATTTACACCAAAAATATATTTTAGGGTAGAAGGGTAGCTCTACCCTCTTTTCTACCCTCTTTTCTACCCTCTTGAATTTTCATGAATTTCATCGTAAATGTTTTGTCAAGACTTCTTCATAAATGTTTTGTCAAACATGAACGTAAATGTTTTGTCAAGACTTCTTCATCGTAATGAGTGTAAAGGACCCAAAAATATATTTAGGGTAGAAGGGTAGCTCTACCCTCTTTTCTACCCTCTTTTCTACCCTCTTGAATTTTCATGAATTTTCCCGAAATAAAAAATAAAACTAACTTTATTTTATTTATTTTTTTTATTTTGTATAAAAAAATAAAAATGTCAACAATCGGCACAACAACAATTCAAACAACTACAGCACCAAACTCTTTAGTCATGAACCCAACTTCAATGTTAGTAGAGATGAAAAGCTTCATTCCTTCTTCATATACTTTCGAAACAAAATAAAGCAAGAACAAGTAATTTAGACTGTAGTGCGAAAGATGAAACAAATGAACAGTATCTTTATGAAATGCAGGATATTATTGACCATCTACCTAAACTTCCTGAAATACAACAACAAAAACTAACCATTCCCGAATTTGACGAAATAGAAGTCAGACTGACTGACTCAGTAGAAATAAAGAAGTTCATACGAAAGGTAAACTATGAATTCCTTGGATTTCATTGCAACCACAAAGTCATGGACATTGACCTTTACAAATCCGAAGAATTTAAGACCTACGACAACTTTGTTTCGTTAGTTGCAAAATGTGTTTGGGAAATAAGAGATAAAGATAGTAGGGGTAAGGTATGGAACGAACAAATAAAACCCGCTATGTTCGAGATGAAGAAAACCATTGACGCCTTAGTCATACTAGCAGGTAAGATTTCAATGTACAATGCTAAAATGAACCCACAATGTTCAAAATGTAAAGCAGCAATGAGGAAATATAACTACTCCGTCAAAGAGATAGAAAGAATGAGAAACGACTATGCAGATTTAAAGAAAGAAATGACAAACAATGAGTTTGAAACAGTTGGAAAGATAGACAATGAGACCAAAGTGGTTAGAATAGGTGATTTAAACGTAAGATACTCAAAGAAATACAACAAATATTCTTTGTCAGACATTTTATCTCCATCTGGAAAGAAAGCAAAGGACTGGGTTAGAATTGCTTCTAGTCAGAAAATTTTGACAAGAAATCCTGAGCTTATGATATCGGTAAGATTCTATGGAACTACAGCATATCTCATCGACAAAAGTCTTATACCAATAGTTTTGTTATGGTTAGACCCAGTTGTTGGATATAATTTCATAACATATGGTTCGTTCGACTCAGAACGTTGCAGTGAAGGCTTACTTTACATCGTTCAGAAACCGAAGGACTTCAATACAAAGAGATATAAGATAGGAAGAACATTTAATATAACTCAAAGATATGACAGTACAGTCAATAGAGTCAAGGTTGTGTTGGTTAACGATATGAGAGCTGCAGAAACAGAACTACTTGAAAAGTTTGAGAAAATGTATGGTGCTCCCATAAAAGGTAAAGAAACGTTTGAAGTAGATGAGATAGATAAAGCTATAAAATTATTTGACGAAGTTGCTGAAAAATACATGTAAAAATAACGTTTACCATGTAAAACGCTTATAAAATAACTGGGGTAGAAAAGAGGGTAGAAAAGAGGGTAGAGCTACCCTTCTACCCTAAAATATATTTTTGCTGAAAAATGACCAAAAATCTGGGTAAAATGGCATAAGATTGCTATCCTCGAAAAACCGAGGATAGAGATTCCGTATGAAAATCATGAAGAACAGCGAGTAGGTAAGAAACCTTAGTCGTCAAAAAACTCTATGAAAACAGTGAAATTTCTCTAGACAGAAAAAATAAAGTTAGTTTTTTATAAAATATTTTTTTATTTTGTATGTAAAGACAGAAATGACAACAACAGAGAACACAACAACTGCTATCGTTCATGAAGCCATAGATGAAGAATACGAGTACATACAGTTTAACAAACAACTCCGTCTCATTCGTTCGGTCAAAGATGACATGTACCAAATGCAAAGTATTTTGACAGCATGTGCTACACCAGATACTAAGAAACCACAAGACTGGTTTGAATTAAATAGCACTCATGAACTTTTGAGTGAGTTCGAACATGTAGAACTTAAAAAGATGTACCAAGACAGACAAAACTTACCATCGTATCTAAAAGGTATATATGTTCATAAGTTCCTAGTTAGTTCAATAGCAATGTGGGCTTCACCTCGCTATGCTTGGTATATTTACAGACTTCTTGACGAAGTTGCTGAAAAATACATGTAAAGCGTTTATTTTTGGTCTTTTGTGAAAGTAAGAAAATAACGCTAATTTTATTTTTATTTATTTTTTTATTTTGTATGTAAAGACAGATATGTCAACAACAGAGAACACAACAACAGTTATAGTCCATGAAGCTATAAATGAAGAATATGAGTACATACAATATAACAAACAGTTACGTCTCATTCGTTCGGTCAAAGACGATATGTACCAAATGCAAAGTATTTTGAATACTCTTCGTTCTACAAAGCAAGCACGTCATTGGTTTGAAAACCAACAGACAAAAGAACTTTTAGAAGAATTTCCTCATATGTTTGCGAGTGGTAGAAAACCGCGGAACGAGATTCCGTACGAAAATCGTAAAAATTTGCCAAATAGTTTGAAAGGATATTATGTTCATAGACTTCTTGTAAATGCTGTTGCAATGTGGGCTTCGCCTCGTTACGCTTGTTATATTTTCATGATGTTAGATGAAATTCATAGACAAGAACGTGAAGAGCTAGAGAACAAGCTTGAAGCAAAAGACAAAAGCCTTCAGAAAAGAATACCACGTTCGGTACCAAAAGGAAAGGAAAAGAACTATAAGTATATGATTTACACTGAAGAGATGGAAAATGAAGAAGACAGAGATATGGTTATGTTGCATTTAGTCAGAAGAAACAACAAAAGCTTTTACGACCTTGCTAAGATTTACAAATCTGACAGAAATTGGTTCTATCGCGAAAACTTACCGATTTCAATGACACCGAATGAAGATGTTAAACAGATAGTTCAAGATACGTTACCTCAAACACACTATGATATGAAAGGTTGTACAATACTTACCTTCAAAGAAGATTTGCCATTGTTAAAGGAAAAAATAACAGAGTATTTTGACAACTTCAAACAAGCAGAGTAAATGAACTCTTTATTTTTCAAGCTTGACCTTTACATTCTGCCTGAGGAAGTCTTTAACAAGCTCGTTAATTTCAATTAGATAAATTGCTTCGTCTAGGGGGTCAAGCTCCATACTGAGTCAGTACAATATTGTACTTTTTCAAGACAATGTTGTACTTTTTCAAGACAATGTTGTACTTTTTCAAGACAATATTGTACTTTTTCAGAACAATGTTGTACTTTTTCAGAACAATGTTGTATAAATTCAGTACAATGTCTCTCAAATTTGAGTACAGCTGTACTTTTTCAGAACAAGTCTTGTACTTTTCAGAACAAGTCTTGTACTTTTTCAGAACAATTTGTACTTTTTCAAGACAATGTTGTACTTTTTCAAGACAATGTTGTACTTTTCAAGACAATATTGTACTTATTCAGTACAATGTTGTATAAATTCAGTACAATGTCTCTCAAATTTGAGTACAGCTGTACTTTTTCAGAACAAGTCTTGAACTTTTTCAAGACAATGTTGTACTTTTTCAGAACAATGTTGTACTTTTTCAAGACAATGTTGTACTTTTTCAAGACAATGTTGTACTTTTTCAAGACAATGTTGTACTTTTTCAAGACAATATTGTACTTATTCAGTACAATATTATATTGTTTCAGAACAAAGACGGTTAAGACACAAACGAATGTCCGACGTACCACCAACCGAGTCCATTCCAAAGCCAGAAGAACCGACAGCCCCAGCACCACAACAGACTAAGACTCAAACTCTTACATTTTTACGCTTGACTTTTTACAATTTGAACTTTGTTCGCGTAGATGTGAATTCTGAAAGAAGTATGAGGGTCTTGTATGACTTTGTACTTCTCCCATAGTTCATGTCTGTCAAACTTACCTGCCATGGACTCTTTCATAAGTTCCATGAAATCGTCTTCGGACAATCCAGGGAAAAGTACAATGTCAGTAAGTATTCTCTTTACATCCTTACTTAAACTCTTGGCTGTCTGTACACAAATGACAACTGAAATGTTAAAGTGTCTGAGCTTCTTAAGAATTCGACACATGTCTTGTTCTCTGTTCTTTAACAAAGGATGAGAAGCAAAGTCATCTAAGATAAGAAGACATCTGTGAGGGTAAGTCTTCCAATCGTAAGATTGCAATTTCTTCGAAATGTATTCTATCTCTTTCTGTTTGTTTCTGAAGTGTTTCTTCTCTAATATTCTCTGCATTTCCTCATTTGGGTCTTTAAACTTCGAATTGACATACTCATTTATAGCATTGTACTTCAAAACTCTTCTTTGGTACTTCTTTATCCAATCTAACAACTCAGAGTCTTTTATACATACTAACTTAGACTTCTTTATAATATCTTTGAACGAATTGACGGTTTGATCGAATTGACCAGATGTCGAACAAATGACTACTAACTCATAGAATGGGTTCTTCTCATCTAGTTCTTGTTGTTGTGCAGCCATTTTAAGATAAGTGAAAGTCTTACCCGACCCAGGTGGTGCGATTAGACCTGTTATACCATTCTGAGCAAATAAGAACTTGTCATGTATAGGCTTTATCTGAGCATTTTCTAACTTCCTCTTGTTCTTATTTAAAACATTCTCAAATTTCTTGTCAATGTCAGCAAACTTTTTTTCTAACATATTTTTAGAAAAATTAAAAATTTTATCTTTTAGAAAATGTCTAGCGATTTCGCTATCTATATTCGAGACAAACTTTTCGACTCTAAAACATCTGTCGACCATAAAATCTTACATAGTGTAAACAAGAAAGGTGAATTTGTTCTAAAGTTCTGTTTCTGGGAATATGACAAGAACCATAAAACATTAGGCAGAGAAGTCTTTAAGTTTGTCAATGACAGACTTGTTGACAGAGATGACGCCGATTGGAAAGATGAAGTCCAACAAAAGTTCTTAGAATGCAAAGAAGGCACATGCGCTGTTCTTGAAGATGAAATAGAAAACAGAATAGAAGAGCTATTAAAGGACAAAGAACTTTTACATAAATATGGTTGCGCCAAATTTGACATAACTCCACCAGAAAAGAAGAAGAAGAGAGAAAAGAAAGAAAAGAAAGTAGAAGAAAAGAAAGTAGAAGAAGAGAAGAAAGAACCTGAACCAGTTCCAGAGAAGAAGAAATTTGACATGTAAAAATAAAATTTTATTTTTAGAACATTTCTGGGTCAATGTCAATGTTCTCTTCCTCTTTAGGGGCAAACACTGGCTTAGACTCTAAAATCTTTTTACCCAATTTACCTTGAACTTCAACTATCTTAGACTCATAATATTCATAGTCGTCTGCTTTCTTTGGTTCATAAGGTATAACAAGTTTGTATGCTTTGCCTTCTTTAAGGTTTGAAAACCTTCTGTCAAAATTTTCCTTGACTGTTAACAAACCTTCTATGTCTAAGTCTTCAAATTTCGCACCATTTTTAGTCACAATAGCAAACTTAACTGGTTCGATGTTCCAAACTTTGCTGAATGAAGACTTTTCAAAATGGTAGAAGTAAACATTCAAATATGTGAATGGAGCTAACTTATCTTTGACTTCTGACATGTACTTGTTGACTGAAATATATTTCGTCATCTTTTCTATCGGATAAAAAAATATTTTTTTTTAAAAACGTTTTAAAATGGTATGCCATATAGCTTCTTGAATTTGTTAAGAAATAGTCTAACGTATTTTCCATCTGTATCTCTAGCGTATACATAAGCATAGTCTGCCTTAGTAAAACATACTTGTAATTTTCTATAGTTTACGCCGGTATAAAAGTAGAAAGAGTCCTGTTCTTCGTGTAGTAGTAAAACTCAAACGTATGCTTGCCATAGTCTGTAATTTCAATTGCTTCATCTTCTAGTTCGTCGACAAATTCGAATACTATATCTCCAAATTTGCTTTTGTTCTTATTGTTTTCAGAACCAGTGACCCAACGTAAGTTTTCAAGTCTATTGTCGTTTCTTATACGGTTTATATGGTCTACAAAAGGTAAATTGTTAGGATTCAGTATAAAATGAGTTGCAATGACAACATGTTTAAGATAGTGTTTTCCACCAATCCTCATATCAGCATATCCGTCATTTCGCTCCCATTCGCTTAAAACTCTTTTTGTCTTTTTGTTTCTGACTTCAAATGACTCACAACAGTGAATTTCATATTTCTCATCTAACAAACAAGTTTTCCAACAGTCTTTTCCGACAGACTCAGCGTACATTTCAAATAAAATAAAAAAATATTTTTTTTGAAAAAATGTTTTATTTCATGCAATGTTTTACTTCTCATCTAACAAACAAGTTTCCCAACGGTCCTTTCCAACAAACTCAGCGTACATTTTTATAAAAATAAAAAAAAATATTTTTTTTATTCTTGACTTTGTTGTTGCATTTGTTGCATTTGTTGTTCTTGAGCTATTTGTTGTTGAAGTTGTTCTTGTAGTACAATACTTTCACCAGTTGCATCTTCCAATTCGAAACTTTCTGCCGTCATTGACAAATACATAGGACATAAAAGTTTTACAGGAACAAAGTTTGCGTCAACTAAGGTTAAGTTTGTTTGCTAAAGTGTTTGAGTTTACTAAAGCTGAAAAACTCTGCATTCGAATGAACAATAGGCAAACCAGCAGAGAAAGTGTTGTTTATACGCATAAGTATCTTTTGGTCATAGTAGTTTCTGTCGACATTCGAATAGCACTTTGAACCTAAGTTTGAAACAATATATAAAATAGGTGTACTTAAAGTCAATGGAACAGACAAACCTTGTATGACACCTTTTCCTGTTATAGGAAACTGTTGGTAGTAAAAACCAGATATAAGTTTTGTATTATAGCTCATATCGTTTATACTAAACTCAGTCGGACATCCAAACATAATGAAACCTGCTCTAGTTGCAGCACATGTTACATCCGTCCTTAAAGTATTAAATAAGTCAACAAAACTGTTGGTGGTATATCTGAGTAAGTATCTTCAAAGAAGTATTTTTACCATTCACAACAACAAAGTCTTCTGGTGTCAAAAGAGCAAAACAGGCTTTAGTCGTCATTGTGTTTAAAGTTAGTTTACAATATCGTCCTTGAGGACTTTGTAAGTTTGTTGTTATAGAATTATATGACTCAGGGTTTTTAGTCGTAATAGTATAAACCACTATGTCTTCTGCCATTTTTACTTAGCAACTAAATTTTAATGAAATGTTGTGGTCGTCAAATATTTTTATGACGTCTGGGAAAACTATATTTTAAGTTCAAGGTTTCACCTCCTTTCATAACGTATATCTTGTCAATGACATTATATGAAACACCACAGCAAGCAATGTCAGGTTCTATTTTCTTTGATGTTTATATCGTCTGCCTCTGTCAAAAGTTTCAATAGTTCTTTCAAAACTTCATGAGGTGCGATGACATATGAGTTCACTTTTACAGGGTTGTGCTCAACCAAGTTTAACATTATACCAAAAGCTTGACAAATCTTCTCCTGAGTTTTAAGTTTGTCTTTAAGTTGTTGGTAGTCGTTTCGAATATCTGCAACAGAACTTAAGTCTCTGCTAACTTCAGGATATGTTGGTTGTTCTTTTACAGGAACTATTGTTATACCATCTTCGTCTTCGTATGGTTTCCCCACTTCAACATCTCTTTCTTTGACATTGACAACAAACTTTGACTGTTTGTTTGAGTTGGTGAATTTAACTTCACATCTGCCACCGCCATTAAACCTTTTGAAACACTTACGCTTCTATTTTTCGGAATGACATTTTACTTAGAATAAAAAGATGGACGTATTTGAGTATCTCTTCGAATTGAAGCAAAACAAAGTTTACACACACAAACAATACAAGTTCATTGACAGAATAGTTCTTTATACAAACAATGGAAAATGTTATAGAATAGCAGTCTTTGCCTGAACCAAAATATTTTCATAAAGCAAAGAAAGTTGGTATAACCGAGATGGTGAAAGTTCTTGAAGCAGACAAAAATATAACAACAAAACTGACCGATATTTCTAAAGGAAAGTTTATAATACAATTTTATGTCAAAACTGGCGTACTGTCAATATTTGACGGAGAGAAGTCAGTTCAAGAACAACTTACTGACCTGCTGCCAAAATCTGCTCGATGGAAGCTGTCGTATGCCAATCTGAGGAGCCCCAGCAGGTTTCATCGAACGAATCTTCAAAAGAGCATCTTCCGTGAAAAGTGCTATTGGGTTTTGTAAACTTCTTTGCTTTCAATTCATCTGGACCGTCTCTGTCACCAGTATATTGTATTTGAACTGTACCAACAGTTGAAATACCACCCAATAAAGTTTCTGAGTCAGCAAATGGAATGCCAAGCCAAAAGTTTGAACGGTCTCCATTTGTATATTGAGTTTTTTGACCTCCTGTATGAGTCCATACTTTCACATATGGCATAATATAGAACTTTGCATTTCAGGGTTAATGGTTGTTGTGAAGTTGTTGTTAAAGTTCATAGCATCTAATGTCAAGTTGTATGACCTCATATCCTCAACTGTAGAATATTCTTCTCTTGGATAATATTTGCCATCTATGTTTAATTGGTATTTAATACCAGGGTTGTTAGAAGCAAGAATAGTCATTTATAGTTCGTCTGAACAGTACAAACATAGTATCTGCATGTTTCATTGCAGTTGTTAAGGCAATATCTGTTCTTGCACCTGCGGTTCCTGGATTTTGGTTTCCAACTTCACCTGCAAAGTCTTTGACAGATATTTGGTGTATAGGGAACATAAGTGGAACTGCAATATATTTGGCAGCTAAAGCATTTGAAATATCTGGGTCCAACATATAGACTGCAAGTCTGCTTTCTATTCTCTTGCATTCAAACTTTTCGCATGTGAACTTAACTGGGTCCCAAGCATCTCCAGCAGCATTGAAATAATAGTTTACTTCAGTGTTGAGGTTTGAGAAACCAAAGTCTAAGTCAACTTTGTTTTTGCAAAAGTCGGCGAATGACATTTTATTTGTTCCCACTACTTCTGTAAGAGTGAATGGGTCTTGTGTTGGTGCAATGACTAAGTTATTTTTGCTTGGAGTAAGTTCGATAGAAATTTTTCCTGCCCAGTTTGGCAAGTATCTTAAAAACCTGAAGATGAGGAAAGATGACAAAGGAACTCTAAGTTTCAGTTTTACTTTGGTTACTGCTGCTGCAGTTTGTCCAGAAAGGTTAACATAAACTCCTGGAACGTTAGGGTCAAGTCTTCTTATTTTCTCAATGGTTGCATACTGGTCTGTTTGTTCTCTAGCTTGTGGTTGTACTGAGTTTCTCAAAGCGAACCATTCATAGTTTGCCCATGTTACTGTTTGAACTAAGTCAGAGTTAGAATATATCTTATATCCCATGAAAACTTCTGGAGCATATTGGTATCCGACATAGAAAATTCCATTGCAACCTTTCTTGTCAGACAACTTGGCAGAAGGTTTTATTTCAATGTCTTGTTCCACGTATAAGAATGAGTTGTCAATAGAAATAATATGAAAACCTGTCGCAAGCAATATCTACTGTTGTTGAAGAACCTTCTCCAAACTCACCTACGTTCCATAAGAAACAGCAGTTGTATATTCGTAAGTTCCAGGAACTATTTCTGACCTTCTAATGGCATTGTCGCATTCGTTATACCCATTCGGAAACATTTCCATTCATAGCATCCAAAACTGTTGGCGTTATATTCTGAGCGGCGTACATTTCATATGAGTAAAAATATAGAATAGTTGGATTTATATGTCATAATAGAACCCACTCCGACCAAGCTTTACTTTCTTCCTGACTGAGTTTTTAACTCTTCTTTTTCCTTCATTGCCTCTGCTTGAAGTTGTTGCATCTTTGCATTATGTTCATCTAGTATGTTGCAAATTTCCCATGTCCTTTTTGCCTTTTGGCTCTGGTCGCCCATCTCAGGTAACCTATATCCTAGAAAGAGTTTGTCATAGTCTGTATTTGAGTCTTCGCGTATTGTTTGCATGACTCTTTCCTGAGTTTCCGGTTCAAGCTCTTCAAACAGTGCCTGTCCATATGGAATATGCTCGTTTCCAAATATATGTTTTTGTAGCCATTCTGGTTTTCTTTCCATGTTACCAACTATATCTTTTGTGAATGGGAAGGCTTCTACCCAATCTTTCAGTCTTGCGTCGTTTATTTCTGTAGTTGGTTTTATTTTGTCAAGGAACATGTTTTTCAATACTAACATTTCATTTGGTACTGTCCATTTGAGTTTTCTTAAATATTCATCCCTTCTCGGTTCATTGTCTGCAAAGTAAGTTTTTATGACATTTTGTAAACTTTCGTTTGCAAGGTCATGTACAATAGGTTCTCTTCCTTCTATCTCCCTAACTTTTCTTTCTAAACTCTTCACCAAATATACCATCTCTATGGTTCTGTGTAGTTCTTTGAGATAAATGTTCTAGAACGTCAGGTGTTATATTTCCATCAGCCATGTTCATTTCATACTGGTCCAAAATATCTGCATCTTTCATATCTTTCAATGGCATTAAAGCCGCGCTGAAAATACCAGCTATATCTGGTTCACCATTGACTTCCATTGCGTCTACAACTTCTTGGAATTGAGGTTGTAAGTTTATGAACCACCTATCCGGGTTAGCTTTATGACCCCATCTCATTGTAGTTCCATCGTCTGCAGAAACAAAAGTAGGTTTGTTTCCATCTTGGTTAGGTTCTGAATGAACTTTAAACAATGTTTCATTTCTATATGTTTTCTTGAAATTTAACCTTTTATCTTCACCGAGTTCATCCGAAGATTGAACGTTAAATGCTCGTAAGTAAAAAGGGTTGTTGTATTTGTGTACATTTTTTTTCAGTTCTTCCATTCTATGCTGGATATTTTCATCTGATGTTGGAGTCTTTTGTATGTCGGCAAACATTTTTCGATATTCTTCTACTATGTCAGCCGAATTTTTTTTAGACTCTTGGAAATATTCCATATTCTCCGCATACTCTTGTTGAGGGTCAAGATTTTTCGGCTGTTCCAAATCTTCATCTAGTTCTGTGAAGTTAGTTTCCAAAGGAAGGACTTGTTCGTTTCCTTCAGGCTCTTCTAGCTTTTGTTGCTGAACTATTTCTTCCATGTCTGGTTGTATCTGAACTAGTTCTTCCTGTGGAGTTTCTTGTACCTCATCTGCTGGCATTTCATATATTCCGAGACCGTTTTCAACAAGTTCCCTTTCTAAGTCATCCGGACTCATAAACCTTTCTTCTTTCGTTCCGTCTCTATTTTTTACGCGTTTCATGAAGAGAGTTAAATTGTCATTTAGCTCTGACATCAAATATCTCGGAGTAAATTCGTTCATGTCATTTGGATGATATGCTATTAAATCATATCCCTTAGCGAGCTTGTATTTTCCAGGTTTGAAATTATATCCCCTTTGGTAGAGCCATAAAGCTAAATAGGTTCGGGTCAGTATTTCCATCCTTGAACTTTCTAATAGCTTCTTTATATCTGTCACTAAGTCAATACTATCTGGGTAACCATAGTCTTCTTTAAGCATTTTTAAGAATTCTTGGTTTCCTTGTTCTCTACTTCTTTTATGTCCTTGCTCTGTTTGTGGTTGTTGTTGTGCTGGTTGTGGTGCAGTGTTTTGAACTGTTGGTTGTTGTGTTGGTTGTTGTGCTGGTTGTGGAGGTGGTTGTTGTGCTGGTTGTTGTGCATGCCTGTGTCTGTGTCCATGTGACGATGTAAATGTTCTAGGTAGTCCTGGTGCAGGTGCTTCTCTTGGAGGGTTTGGTGGTATATAAGTTCCACCAGCTGGCACATATGTTCCATCTGCAGCGTAATGTCCTACCTGACTTTTCGTTTTTAAGAAAGCATTTACTAGGTCTGTTTTGGTCTGTTGTAACTCTTTTTCTTGACTTTTCACAACAGTTGCTCTAACGGCGTCATAGGCACTTTGAACTGCCTGTCTCGTTGCTGCATCTGTTATTTTCGTCATATTTTGTGCTACTTCTTTTAACTCTTTGTCGAAACCTTCAGACTTCAGTTTCTTTCCAGATGAGAAGTCGTTCACTTGTTTCACCTTACTATGAAGAGCTTCGAAAGCGTTCTTAAAGTCAGCATTTGTTAAAGCTTCATTTGAACTATCTTCATCCGCTTGTATTTTTGTCCTTATTGACCCTATGAGTTGGGCTGCTTTAGCGTTGGCTTGGCATCTAACCAGTCATTGTTAGCTTTTATATATTCTGCGCTTTTCATTGCCTTTTGCATGCGCGTCGTTATTTTTACTTTCTTGTGCTAAGTTTTCATACTGTACGGTTTGGTTTTGCAACTGTAAAAGTTTTTCTGCCTTTACATTTGCTTCAACTTCTTTTTTATACTCATCGCTATCCATATATGTCTTCAGGGCTTTTTGTTTTATCTCTTCATCTTTCAGTACTTTATATCGAGTAGTATGGTTTTTCAAATTTATGACATCTTGTTCCATTTTTGCTACTTCTGCTGCTTTTTCTGACACTTTTTTCGCATATTCCTCTGTACTTAGTTCTTTCAGTTGTTCTTCTTTCTTCTTTTTCTCTACGTTTAACTCATTGAGTTTCTTTGTCTGTCTGTCATATTCTAGTTTCTTTTCGTTTTCGCTTATTTGTTTCTGTATGTCTATGTTTGACTTTTTGACATCTGTTATTTGATTTTTTGAGTGAACTCAAATTCATTTGACTTTGAGGGTTATAGCTGTTCCGTCTGCAGCTCCACCATAGCCTGCCATTTTCGCTAAAAGTGCCGCTCTTAAACCTCCACTCTGTGCACCAACTCGGTTTAAAAGCATAGGATTGCTTGACATTTGTTGCAACATAGTGGGGTCATTCATAATTTGTTGTTGCAACTGTTGTTGTGGTGTCAGTTTTACTATTGGATGTTTCAATGCTCTCTTCCTCTTACGTATATTCTTACGTAGCTTACGTGGCATTTTAAGTGAAGTTAAAAAGCGGTTTTTGACAGATGTTTTATTGTGACTTCTTCGTAAAGACTTTGTTGAGATTTCTTCGTAAATGAGTGTAAATGACCCAAAAATATATTTTAGGGTAGAAGGTTAGATATAACCTCTTTTCTAACCTCTTTTCTACCCTCTTGAATTTTCATGAATTTCTTCGTAAAGACTTTGTTAAGACTTCTTCATCTAATTTCTCATGAACTTTCTTGTCTATGTTTTGTTGAGATTTCATCGTAAAGACTTTGTTGAGATTTCTTCGTAAATGACCCTAGTAGTATATTTTTGGTGTAAATTTCATGAAAATTCAAGAGGGTAGAAAAGAGGTTAGAAAAGAGGTTATATCTAACCTTCTACCCTAAACATTATTTTTGTCTGATTTTACGAAGAAGTCTTGACAAAACATTTACGAAGAAGTCTTGACAAAACATTTACGAAGAAGTCTTGACAAAACATTTACGAAGAAGTCTTGACAAATTCAAGAGGGTAGAAAAGAGGTTAGAAAAGAGGTTATATCTAACCTTCTACCCTAAACATTATTTTTGTCTGATTTTACGAAGAAGTCTTGACAAAACATTTACGAAGAAGTCTTGACAAAACATTTACGAAGAAGTCTTGACAAAACATTTACGAAGAAGTCTTGACAAAGTCTTTACGATGAAATCTTGACAAATTCAAGAGGGTAGAAAAGAGGTTAGAAAAGAGGTTATATCTAACCTTCTACCCTAAACATTATTTTTGTCTGATTTTACGATGAAGTTTTGACAAAGTCTTTACGATGAAGTTTTGACAAAGTCTTTACGATGAAATCTTGACAAAGTCTTTACGATGAAATCTTGACAAAGTCTTTACGATGAAATCTTGACAAAGTCTTTACGATGAAATCTTGACAAAACATGAAAACATATATAATTTGTGAAAAGCTCCTGGAAGACCCGTATATAAGAACTTCATTTATACTAAACATCTTCAGGGCTAGAAGGCACGAAGTGCCTGGAAGCCCCACTACCTTTTTTTTTTTTTTTTTTTTTTTTTTTTTTTTTTTTTTTTTTTTTTTTTTTTTTTTTTTTTTTTTTTAATTATAACAATTATTTTTGGTTTTATATTTTTTTGGATCAAATCCATTTTAATAGAATTTATATACTATTCATCTATTAGTAAACACTACCGTATATTATTTTTTAAGCTATCTTATTTTTTGAAGTTTTATTCAAATCTTTGGTCGCAAGAAGAATTGCATGATAAATAAAAACATTTAATCAAAGTCAATTTTATTTTTCGAGTGGGGGACAAACTCGCCCATTGTCACTTTTCATTAACCTTAAACTTGTAATTTTCATTATTTTTAATTAACCTTATTTCGTTCCCAATTCCTGATTTATTTTATTCACTTACTATTAAAAGTCACATTTTAATAAAATATAATAATTTATTTATAGCATTTTTTACTATACTGTAATAAAAAATTAATTATAATAAATTAAATGTTTATTAAATCAAATGTTTTCTTTGCAATAATATTTTTAATGTTGAGTAAACAATGTTGGGATCAAGTGTATCATTTTTCAGACCTTTCTGAACAGCTTCAAGCATACTGATGCATTCGACTTTTTTAAATTGTGTCATTTCTTCGAAATCTCTTGTGACTTTTTTGATAACTTTAACACTTCTCTCTGAATCCAGACCTTTAATTTGCAACTTAATCAGGAATGAAGGAACAACACTGGAATATAACTCGATGACAAGTTCATCGAGTCGAAGATTTCGCCTTTCTGGGAAGTACTGGTGCTTCAAAACCTTGAAATGTGATTCCGAGATGTTGTTTGTTCCATCTCCTTCATTTCTATAGCGAAGCATCCACCTGTCAAGATGATGGCGCCACTGTCGGTCAAAGTATTCACGGGCAGCAGGTTCCTCATTTAAAATTTCTTCTAAATTGTTGTAAACTTCATCAGGATCAATTTCTTCCTCTTCAGAACCAAAGACCAATAACTTCATTAAGTTATAGAAAGTTTCGAAGTTGGAACGATCTTGAAACTTTTCAGCCTTTCTCATGACAGCGCGCAACACATGAACGCCACACAAATGATCTGGCATAAGGGGATGGCTGTTTCAACAGCATTTGTGATTTGAGGTGCGCAGTCCATTGAAAAATAAGATGGTTCGCGATTGATGGAGCCAAAATATGCTGTGAGACAAACTTGTATATTTTCACTTGTGTCGGGCCAAACGAAAAAATACAAAAACGGAAAAACAATTGATTCCGCGAATTTGCCAGTGACGGCATAAAATGGTATGCGAGAGCGCAAGAGCTTATAAGTGGAATCAATGTGATAAGTTTGTATTTGATGTGAAAAAGCATTTGCTTCGAATGGGGCGTAATAGAAAATCATACGATCTGGCTCGTGAATAAACTCGATGAGATCATCTGGAGAATGACTCTTAACCATGTCGACAAAAATTGCAAGAGATGTAACATCATCCACTGAGAAACGGGTATTGATTGCATGAAGGCGTTTAGAAAACTTTTTAAAGCATCTGTAGATTGTTGAAAACATTTCCGGAATGATCCCACTATCAAATGGGATATTAAGATCTTTGAAACACCTTAATTGTGCGTAAACACGGTCTTGATTTGATTCAAAATATCTTGTTAAATAAGATCTATAAAAATATGATGTAATTTTGTTGTGATTTGTTTGGAAAAGGGGCAGAATGATTGTGGGTGTTAATACATTTTCGTATGTGGTACTTGTCATCGGGAAGTGTATCAACAAGGAAGCGACATGGACAATTCGGCCACTTACAATTAAATTGGATTTGATTTCTTTCTTTCCTAGTTTTATATGAATAACTACAACCTGCTTGGATTTCTTGTTGCACTCCATACTTAAGCAACTCGATATATGTGAGTTCGTGATCTTGGATCTGCATTAAAATGAAATGATTTGAAAGAATAAAGAATTTTGAATATATTGGTCTTATTTTGATAAGCTTGGTCGTGTTTTGAATAGCTTGGCCATCTAATTCAATTATGATCTTTGAAAATTAGGTGAAATAAAACTAAACATAAATGTAAAACTAGGGATATGAAATTTTGGTTGTACACCACTTGTATGTGCGGATACCATTGTGTCAAATTTTTTCTGAAATTAACTTTAAAAGTACTAAGTAAGATCATGAGATATAGCAATATATGTTTAAACCAACTTATATTTTGGTTGTACACCACTTGTATGTGCCGGATACCATTGTGTCAAATTTTTTCTGAAATTAACTTTAAAAGTACTAAGTAAGATCATGAGATATAGCAATATATGTTTAAACCAACTTATATTTTGGTTGTACACCACTTGTATGTGCCGGATACCATTGTGTCAAATTTTTTCTGAAATTAACTTTAAAAGTACTAAGTAAGATCATGAGATATAGCAATATATGTTTAAACCAACTTATATTTTGGTTGTACACCACTTGTATGTGCCGGATACCATTGTGTCAAATTTTTTCTGAAATTAACTTTAAAAGTACTAAGTAAGATCATGAGATATAGCAATATATGTTTAAACCAACTTATATTTTGGTTGTACACCACTTGTATGTGCCGGATACCATTGTGTCAAATTTTTTCTGAAATTAACTTTAAAAGTACTAAGTAAGATCATGAGATATAGCAATATATGTTTAAACCAACTTATATTTTGGTTGTACACCACTTGTATGTGCCGGATACCATTGTGTCAAATTTTTCTGAAATTAACTTTAAAAGTACTAAGTAAGATCATGAGATATAGCAATATATGTTTAAACCAACTTATATTTTGGTTGTACACCACTTGTATGTGCCGGATACCATTGTGTCAAATTTTTTCTGAAATTAACTTTAAAAGTACTAAGTAAGATCATGAGATATAGCAATATATGTTTAAACCAACTTATATTTTGGTTGTACACCACTTGTATGTGCCGGATACCATTGTGTCAAATTTTTTCTGAAATTAACTTTAAAAGTACTAAGTAAGATCATGAGATATAGCAATATATGTTTAAACCAACTTATATTTTGGTTGTACACCACTTGTATGTGCCGGATACCATTGTGTCAAATTTTTTCTGAAATTAACTTTAAAAGTACTAAGTAAGATCATGAGATATAGCAATATATGTTTAAACCAACTTATATTTTGGTTGTACACCACTTGTATGTGCCGGATACCATTGTGTCAAATTTTTTCTGAAATTAACTTTAAAAGTACTAAGTAAGATCATGAGATATAGCAATATATGTTTAAACCAACTTATATTTTGGTTGTACACCACTTGTATGTGCCGGATACCATTGTGTCAAATTTTTTCTGAAATTAACTTTAAAAGTACTAAGTAAGATCATGAGATATAGCAATATATGTTTAAACCAACTTATATTTTGGTTGTACACCACTTGTATGTGCCGGATACCATTGTGTCAAATTTTTTCTGAAATTAACTTTAAAAGTACTAAGTAAGATCATGAGATATAGCAATATATGTTTAAACCAACTTATATTTTGGTTGTACACCACTTGTATGTGCCGGATACCATTGTGTCAAATTTTTTCTGAAATTAACTTTAAAAGTACTAAGTAAGATCATGAGATATAGCAATATATGTTTAAACCAACTTATATTTTGGTTGTACACCACTTGTATGTGCCGGATACCATTGTGTCAAATTTTTTCTGAAATTAACTTTAAAAGTACTAAGTAAGATCATGAGATATAGCAATATATGTTTAAACCAACTTATATTTTGGTTGTACACCACTTGTATGTGCCGGATACCATTGTGTCAAATTTTTTCTGAAATTAACTTTAAAAGTACTAAGTAAGATCATGAGATATAGCAATATAAAAAAAAAAAAAAAAAAAAAAAAAAAAAAAGGTAGTGGGGCTTCCAGGCACTTCGTGCCTTCTAGCCCTGAAGATGTTTAGTATAAATGAAGTTCTTATATACGGGTCTTCCAGGAGCTTTTCACAAATTATATATGTTTTCATGTTTTGTCAAGACTTCTTCGTAAAATCAGACAAAAATAATGTTTAGGGTAGAAGGTTAGATATAACCTCTTTTCTAACCTCTTTTCTACCCTCTTGAATTTTCAAGATTTCTTCGTAAATGTTTTGTCACTTTTCTGTCACTTTTCAGGAAAAAAACATTTTTATTGTATATAAAATGAATTTTACAAAACCACCGTTACCCTTCTTTGGAAATAAGAGTAGATGTAAAGATATTCTATTGAGAGAACTTAAGAAACTACCGAATGGTCTAACATTTGTAGATTTGTTCGGTGGAAGTTTCTATATATCCCATCTGTGCCATACAATATTCCCAGACTCAAAGATTATATGCAATGACTTCGACAACTATATGAACCGTCTCAAACATATACCAGACACAAACAAAATATTGAGTGAGTTGAAAGAAAAGATACCTATAGGTAAGATGGAACGTATACCATTAGATAAGAAAAATACTGTCAGAGAGGTTTTGAAAAAAGCAGAATATATAGACTGGGATAGTATATCTGCTAGACTATTATATAGTGGTGCTATAAGAGTTCATGACATTGAAACACTTATGTCAAAAGTTTTATATCTTAACTATACAAATGTTTTCAAAGAGGACATAGAAAAATATATTGAGGGTATAGAGTTTGTGAGATGTCATTGGACAGATTTGTATGAAAAATATAAAGACAAGGAAAATGTTTTCTTTATAGTAGACCCGCCGTTCTATAACACATGGGATTTTCAATACCAAGTAGACTGGACTTTGAGAGACTCTTTAGAAACTTTAGACGTTTTACATAACCATCCATGCTTTTACTTTACATCCGATAAAAGTGGTTTGGAAAGTGTCATGAGATGGTTAGAGGACATACATGACTATGAGTTTAGATACGATAAGATAGAATATGAGAGAGGTCCTATAAACTGGAGAAAGTGTCATAACAAAGAAATTTTACTAGTAAGTAAATGTGGTTTGAAATAGGACTACTTGTTTTAGGTTTTTTCCATTGTGTCATTTATTTATTTGACGTGGCAGAAAAGTACAGAGAATATGAAGATGAACCAATGCCTGCAAATGTTCAGTATATGTACTCGTAAGAGATATTTTTATCTAATATTAAATGGACGCACAGAACTTAGCAAATGCACAGCAACCTGGACAACCAAACCCAGAGAATATTCCAAATGAAGTTAGAATACAAACTGCAATGGCAAACTATGGTCAAGTGCCAACAGATGTACAAATGCAAACTGCCATGTCAAATGACGCTGCGTTAGGCTTACCACCATGGTATGCAAATATGAGATGGAAAGAGTTTTATACAAACCCGAAGTGGGATATAAACAACTCTATGCAGATGACGCGAACACAGGAGTTGACCCAGAATATGTTTTCTACCAGAGGAGAAACAGAATGTATGAGCTCCAGTTAAAGAATGCTATGGAACTCAACAGGAAACGTAAGAGACTAGGCGGACATTAGATTTTTACATATAGTAAAATGGGTTTCTTTGGAAGAATAGGAAACTTCTTTCGAAATGTTGGAAGAGGTATATGGAATGGAATAAAATCTGTCGGAAGAGGAATTTGGAACGGAGTCAAAAATATTGGTAAAAGAGTAGGTCAGTTTGTTGGTATTATACCTAAAGACCCTGAACCAGAAGAACAAGCTCCTGTTATACAACAGCCTGAACCTGCACCACAGTCTAGTTGGCAACCAAATCCAACACCTCAACCGTATTAAAAAATTATATTTTTACCGTTCGATAGTAGTTGTATATGAAACTAAGTTCTAAGTAAAACGCATGGTATAATGGAATTATTCTCTTTCTTCCATCTGTTGTAAACCATACTTGAAAGTCTGAAATACTTCCACTTGGTGGTTCATATAGCTTTGTAGGTTTTTCGTAAAAGTCATTTGCCAAGCATAAAAAAGAGTTTTGTGCACCAGAAAATGAAGCATGAACTATAATAGCAGCTGGTCGAAAACATCTTTAAATAAATATGGTTCATCTCTTGCATATCGACTGTAAATATTTGCTAAAGGAAGTTCGACTTTCTGATTTAACATTCTTTGCAAATAATACCATGACATTGCAGTGAATTCTGTATATATTTGTTCGTCTTTCTTTGGATTGTCTTCGTAGATTTGAAATGACACTTGTGAATTTTGTTTGTCATATACAATTCTCACATAAAGTGTGCTCTCGGTATTTGCATATTCATCAGCATATTTTGCATAACATGAATTTATTTTATCTTCTATATTTTTTAACGCAGTCTGTAGAGAAGATGAAAGGTCAACTTGTATTAGCTCAATTTCTTCCCACATTTTTCGTTTCCCTTCAGATATATAATCTATATGAAACCTTACAATAAATGGAAAACTTTTATCTTCTACAGACACAAACTTCATTCTACGAAAGCCAATAGCTTTTGTGACAGATGGGTCTCTTAGCCATCTTAATGGGTAGTCAAAACGATAGCCTTCATGCTTTACGGTCTCTGTCTCAAACTTTTGACCGACATTAGTAAAAAGTTCATCTAATGGTTTAGTTGTAGCAACTCTTGAATTTTCTTTTTCTATTGAAAGCATATTTTATCTAGAATAAAAATGTCGAAAGAAACAGCGTCTATGAGAGAAATACAACACAACCGACAACTCATTTTGCAAGCTCTAAATAAGAACACAACAAACTTTTCAAACTATTCTAAGATATCTGAGTCATTGAAAGAAGGAAACTTAAAACTGACGATAAACCCAATGACAGATGAGTTTCTGTTTCAAGACAGTAAGAACCATACTGTTTGTATAAATCCAACAAAAAGAACTTTAAACGAGAAACCTATAGATGAACTTCTTTTGAAGGCAGATATTGACAACAAAGCTGACAAAGAGTATGTCATTGAAAAAGTTCAAGAAGAACATGACAGAGCAGATGCAACATATGCAACGAAAGAACATACTCATCCTGAACTAGCAGACAAAACATATGTTGACAATAAAATGTCAAGTGAAGTGACAAGAGCTGACAAAGAATATTCTAAAAAGACTCATACACATACCATTGCAAATATTACAAACTTACAAGAAACCTTAAACAGGAAAAGTGACGTTGGACATACACATTCTATATCTGAAATAACAGACTTAAACGTTAGCCTTGAAAAGAAAGCTGACAAAACATATGTCAACAGTGAATTAGAGGAGAAAGTAGATAAGGGACTTATGGCTAGTGGGTTAGTGAAGAAGGCAGATAAGGAATATGTGGATGAAAAAGACAATGAAATTATAAAAAGGGTTGAATGGTACCATGAACGGACATCGAAGATTTTAGAAGGTAAAGCCAATACAGGGTGGGTTTCAGGATGTTTAGACCTTAAAGCCGACAAAGAAACTGTAGATATGTTGACACAAACGGTTTCAAGTCATACCAGAGGTTTAATGGAAGATGGACAACAGTTGAAAGAGCTTGAGAAAGGTGTTACAGAGTTAAGGAATACAAAAGCAGACTCGACATGGATAAAAGGATATGTAGATGCAACAAAAGAACGTATTTTCGCATGGACAGAAGGAACATACCCACAAAAATATCATAGACATAGCATCTCTGACGTAAATGAACTTGAAGAAAGGTTATATAAGAAAGCAGACAAAACAGAGCTTCAAACATTAAAGATTGAAATACTTCAAACAGTATATCCTATAGGTTCTATTTATACGTCAATGAACTCTACCAGACCAGAAGTAGTACTTGGTTTTGGAACTTGGACTCAAATAGTCGACAGGTTTTTGTATTGTGCAAACTCTTCAAAGGAAACAGGTGGAAGTAAAACGATTTCAGGTGAAAATTTACCTGCACACAGTCACTACATAAATTTAATACATCTGAAGCAGGTTGGCATAAGCATAGATATTGGGATTGGTCAGGAATGACAAAAGGTAAAGGATATGATGTTAAAGACGACGTTAAGTTTGCTATAAATTGTTACTGGATGACACTCAGGGAGGAGGAAGCCATACACATCGTTTCAGGATATACGAAACAACGGGACAGAGTAAAGACTACATGCCACCTTACATGACAGTTTACGCATGGTATAGAAATGCTTAGTCGTCATTTTCAACTTCTTTAGCATATTCGTCAGGAGTTGTCTTATATTTGTTAGGAACTGTCTTTGAAAGTATACCACCTTGAACTTTGACAAGTTTGAAACGAGGTCTGACAATAGTAGTTTTATCTTCTGCTTGCAGTCTGTACATTTTGCCATGTTTGCCTAAAACTTCATAATATTCTCTTGTATACTTTCTTCTATTTTTACGAACACGAATGAGTACCTGTCGAGTTCCCATTGTTGTCATAGTCAATAGTATTTTCATATGGGTCGCGTTTAGGTATTTCTATTTTTACTTTGTCACCTTTCTTAAGTTTGAAGCCTGGCATTCTTTCTTGTTTGTCTCTTTTGACTAAACTATTAAATATATAGTCTTTCTCTAAGTCAGGGTTGTTTTTCATTTCTTCGGGGGAGTGGTTTCCCAAACCTTTTTGTTTACGGCTATTGTAAATATTTAAAACTTGTCTCATCTTTGCCATGGAGAAGTGTCTATATTTGTCGTCATATGACATTTCATCTTCACCACCTTGTGGTTGGTTTAAGTCTCTTAAGATTTTTATACAACTGTCAATGACACCAAGAGCAGAATGGTTTTGGTCGACAATGAAATATTGGTTTACATTTTTTGAACGCAGATAGTTTTTAATATCGTCTGATTTGAAAGAACTTTCACAGTCAGATGTCAGTTTTGTTGGATGGTATTTGTCAACGAATATTGTCAAAGCAGTTTTCACATCTAAAATATTTTTGGACTGTAATGGTATGGCTTCACAGTATCTTGTGTTTTGACCGACAAATATTAGCCAGTATGGTGGTCCATCTTCTCTATACCTCGGAATGTTTTCCAAGATATCCATAAACCAAGCATTTGGTGTTGAACTAAAGATTTTTATCATGAGTGCTTTCTTTGTTGCTTTAGAAACATAGGGGTCCTTGTTTGGATTCGTCATTTTTTACCCTATAAGAAATGGGTTTATTTGGCGCATTAGCAGGAGTTGCATCCAGATTTTTGCCCGCAGTGGGAACAATAGCCAGAGGTGCATTTGGAATTGGAAGGAAGATTTTGAGTACATTAGGTATACTTAAAGAGAAAGCACAACCTATTATACAAACTGTACAGAAAGGTTGGGAGGTAGCACGAGATGCAGCAAATCTTATTCCAAATCCTGAAACAAGAGGAAAAGTTCAAGGATGGATGGACAATGTAGGAAGACAAGCAGGAAACTACTATAACAAAGCAAATGACTACTATAACCAAGCAGGACACTATATGGACCAAGGTGAAAGATTCTTTAACAGAGGATATAACCATGCACAACAATGGGTAAACAACAACCAACCTCAACCGCCTCAAACGTGGGGAATGTAAATTTTTTTACTGAGATGAAATGAACAATACAGCATTGAGACAAATGGGTTCAAGATGGATTTGTCGACTTCCAGCAGTTACACAACCACGTGTTTGTCAAGTTCTTCCTATACCTCAGGAAGTTTTAGACCGACTTAAAAAACCTAAACAACCAGTTGAAAACAAACCAAACTAAAATTTTTTACTGAGATGAAATGACCGAAGAAGTTGAAACGGTAGATTTGACACCACAAACAAAAAGTTCAGAACCATTGTCAAAACCTGTCAAAGAACTTACAGATGAAGAGAAAAATTCAATAATAGAAAGTGCCAGGTCTGGAAATACAAACCCTAACTACAAAGTCACTTTTCATAGAAATGGAACGGCTAGTATCTCAAAAAAGAAACAGACTCTCACAAATAAAATATTGAAGTCTGAAGGAGCTTTCGAGACAACAGATGGAAAAGTTTACTTCACTGACCAACAGTTCATTATAGAACATCTCATTGACTTAGAGTCGAAATATTCTAAACTTTACAACAAACACAAAAAGTTGAAAGGAAAACAAAAACAAATGGCATATGATATTTATGAAGATGTTGACGACACAACCATACCTGCAAGTGAGGTAAAGTCAGAGGAACCGAAAAGTGACGAAAAACCGATAGAAGAAGGGAAGCCAAAAACTGAAGATAAACCAAAACCAAAGTTTAGTTTCCAAACTAAACCAAGTCAACCTTCATTAGCTGGTATGGGTTGGCGTCAAAGACTTATGGCAGCAGGTGGTTATGTAAAGTAAAGAAAAAAATATTTTTTATTTTTATAAAAATGCCCCCATATAGAATGGATAGAAAATCTGCTAGAATAAAAGCAGAGTTAGAAAGATATGGTTGGAAAGTTTCAAAGAAGTTTAAATATAGGAAGGGAAGACCCATAAAAGTCTATGACAAATTGTCTGGTCTTCGCTATGAAATGGACTTGGAAACAGCACGCGCAAATTATCCAAACAGACTAGAGAGGTTAGAAGAAGAACGTCTTATGGACATGCCTTTCGATGTTAGTGAACCTCAAGTTGAAGGACACGACGGCTTTGCCAGATTCTACTGGAAACATGACGAACAATTGCATCCTTTGAGAAGGAAAAAAGGAAAAGGTGAAGACGCACATGCTCCCATGGAAAGAACAAGATATGCATATGAAAAGTATCGTGAAGTTAGAAGTCAAATTACATCTGGTCGAACCTTTACAGTAAACTTTGACGAAGGAAAGAACAAAGAAGGCTTCATGGGAGTACTTGCTGCCATACAAGACGGAAATAAGAAAGGATACAATCTCAGATTGACCATAACAGATTTGGACGGTCACATTTACTATGCACATGGCAATGTCACAACAGCGCACAACTTCTTGACGCTTTCAAGACTACAAAGAGAGAACAAATGGTTGACTCCGACTCAGACATTTTGAATGCAATTGAAGGAATTGCAAGTGTAAAATTTGAATGGTACCAACCTAACCCTCAAGCAGTCAGACAACATGCTGGATACTTCCCGTTCATAAATAAGTCTGACATTGACTTGACAAGGTATGGAATTTACAATTCAATTGAAACAATTGTCAATGAACCTTGTATTCTTACATGTCTCAGGAACTCTGGTCTTGTTACAGATGAGAAGATGAAGTATCTTGAGTCATGTGTGAAGACAAGGTACATTCTCAGAGGTCAATTGGCAAAAGTTGCACCGTTGGCAAATGTCAATATCCGAGTCAACATACCTACAGCTAAAGGTTCTTCACATGACGACTATGTTGTTGACAAAGACTTACCATGGTTGAAGATTGTAATTGTCCACAACCACTTCATGTTGAACGAAAGTCTTACAAACCCATTGTTCGGAAAAGGCAAGTGCAACATTGTCAGAGCTGTAAACATTCTTTTCGAGAAAGGTTTGTTGGAACCAATTCCAGATGACAAGCTGACAGAAACTTTTGTACCAAAAGACGAAACAAACTTTTCATTGTTAGCAAGACCAAAAGTTGTTCCAGACAAAGTTCTAGCACAAAAGAAGTACACAGTTCCAAAAGGAGTTGGATTGTTCGGATACCAACCTGAACCAGAAGAACTTCCAATGAGGTTGCAAGAACTTCAAGATGCTATAAACAAACTTCCATTGAGACATCCAATTGACGTCAAATTGTATTGGAGAGCATCTGAGTTAGGTCAGAAGGTTTTATATGAAACAGGTTGCTTCGACGATGTTTATGAGATAGCAGGCGAAGTTTCTCAGAAGATAAGAGACTCACTTGAATTTCCACGAACTGGACCCATTGGTTGCGACAAGTTCGACTCAGATGAAAAGATATACTATGTCGACCTTAACGCTGCGTACATGAGGTTCGTCCAATATATCCCGACTGGAATTCCAAACGAAGACGGTGAGTTCCCAGGAAGGAACTATACAGTTGGAAAAGTCATACAACAACTGTATGATATTAGGAAAGCTTCAAACCCCAAACTTGCAATGACACTCAAATTGCTTATGAATTCGACATGGGGATATTCCATTAAGAAACCTCAAAGATGAAGAGTAAACATTATGAGAAGGTCGACAACTTTGTTGAAAGGTTCTCCCCTTTTGTTTTGAATACGAATTACTCAAGGTCAAGTGGCTTAGTAACCACAGTAAAACCTATTGTCGAACATTGGTCTTACCCTCAGTTCGCAAAGGCAGTCCTTGACAACTACAACAAATTCTTCTCCGAAGTCAAATCCAAAGTGAAGGTTTACTATGAGAACATTGACGCACTCATGACGAACGAAGAAGGCTATAACAAACTCATTGAAATGGGAATGGTCGGTGAAAAGATGGGTCAATTCAAATTGGACAAAATTTTCACCGAAGTTCATGTCCTCTCCAAGCGTAAGTACTGGGGCATACTTGAAGACGGCACAGAAATAAAACATTGCATGAATAAAAAATTTTTATTCGAATTTGAATCGGACAGGTCGAGTTACACCATTCTTGGTCTCAAACTCATATATAACCTGTTTGTTGTATTTTCGTCGACTATGGCACGAGACACGAACATTGACCAAACGGACAAAAAGTGTCATTTCAGATGGTCCCGCAGCCAATCGCATTCGAGCACTTCGAAGAAGCCTTACGTTCCAAGGGAGAGGGTGTCTGGTGCAAGGCAGAGGTCATGAACTCTACGAGCAGTACATCCTCAATGCCTGGGAGGACAAATCGTCCTTGGATTGGCAATTCTACCAACTCCTCTGGGACGACCTCCTACGCAACTGGGATGACGAAAGAGTCCAATTCAGAGGTCGGGACTAATTGTCCAAATTACCCTTAATTTAAGCTACTTAACTAAATAAACACCTAAATTTACTCGGGGTTTCCCCCTAAAATAAAATTTTTTTACTCTTAGAACCACTCGAGGTTCTCCTTACGGTTGTTGAGCTTGTCACCGTCAATGTGTCTGACCTTCGTCTTCTTGTTTGGATTTGGAACCCATTGAATTGCGACAAGCTTGCCCATGGAAATTGAACCGCGATTCCGAAGGGTAAGGTTCAAGTGTCCCAAGTTGTTGAGGACTGGGGTAAGAACCTTGCCTGTCTCCTTGTTGCGGATTTGGTATGGGTAGGGTTGGGAAATTTCGTAAGTGTCATCGGCAACAAGGGTTGCCCAAACTTCCTCTTCTTCGTGTTTCTCTTCTTCCTCTTCTTCTTCTTCCTCTTCTTCGTGTTTCTCTTCTTCCTCGACAATTCCTTCTTCAATTCTGTGTTCACGAAGTACGGTGTTGGAGGTTCTGTCCTTTCCGAGTACCTTCCAGATGGCGTCTATCTCTTCGAAGAAACGGTAGATGAGTCTGGCAAGGTCTCGGTTCTCTCTCGCGTAAATGCGCAAGGTTTCCGTCAAATCATTCAGGCATTTCTCATTGGAAGCTTGGTTCATGAGGACATCGGCTTTGAGCTTGGTCATCTCTTCCATAAGACTACTTTGGAGAGTCTTAACGGTGTTTGTCAGATGAGCTTTCAAATTCAAAATTTGAATTTGAACTGGGCGCTTGTCTGGCAACATTGAAAGGACATCTGCCATTGTGTTCGGCTTCGGTGCTTGTTCGGACATCGAAAAAATGAAGTGGTTTGAGAATGACGGTTTTACTTCAAAAAGCTTGTTATGACGGTTAAGTCATACAACAAGTTTAAAATAATATCTTGTTCTTCTTCTGAACGTTTGTTGTCTCTTCCGATAAAAGTTTCGAACATGAGAACCAAAAAACGTTTTTTGAGATTGCGGAAGAGTTCAGGCAAACGTTCATATTCTGGATATGTTGGGAGCAGTTCAAAACATCTGAGCTGACTTTCGGACAAAATTGGGACAATGTCAGAAAATTCATCTTTGGTCGGACTGCTTGAAGGTAAGTCCCTTACATGTAAGTAGCTCTGGTAAAGTCTTCTCATTTCTGCTAACTTTTGGAGTATAGCTTCGTAGTTTAGAAGTTTTAATTTTAATTGTCTTATTCCACTCTTTACTTCTAAACGGTAACTATCCATGAGGTCAAGAGTAGCTTTGGTAGCTTTAAGTGGAGCTATCTGTTCCTTGACTTGTGCAATTTTGGTTGCAATTGTGGTTTGAGCTCCTTCAAGTTCGCCGTCTATGTCGTTCTCAACACCTTCAACCATAGCTTGAAACTCTTCATCGGTCCATTGAGATTGGTGTGGGACGAATTTAACTTGCTTCATTCAAAAAAGAAAAAAAAATGTTTTTACTCAAAGCGTGCCATATAGATGGCTATAAGAAACTTACCAGAAGGCTTCTTCTTCACATGAGTCTTCGGCAACTTGAGTGTTGGTGTTGGAGTTGGGTCTGGAATTTCAATTCTCTCTCGAGCGCAACAACAGATGTCAGAATAACATTCCCCACTGTCTTTCTTGCCACCATAAATTGTGTATTGACCGAACTTGCATTTGCAGGAAGACCGGTCAATACAAGGTTCACAGTTGAAATAGTTGTACACAAACCTGTTGAGTACGAGTGTGAGTAAAAACATAAAAAAAGTGAAGTTAAAATGAGATGTTTACTGAATTGGTTGGATGTCGCCTTCTGAGGTTATGAAGAACGGCTGTCCAGAGTAGTGAAGTAGTGCTCTGAGAATTTGTGTAATTCGTGGAATTGGGCTCTCACGATATGGAAGTAGTATCCAAGGACGTTTCATGAAGAACTTCAAGAGGGCTTCTTTCTTCACATCCTTAATATCATCGAATGCAGTGCCTTCTGGAACTTGAATTGCAACACCTGTTTCAATTTCCAACTTTAAGACACTATTCTTGGACAACCAGAAGCCAATGGACTTGCTTGGTTTGCACTTGCTGAGATATTCCTTCACGGTTTCATTTACCTCAATTAGATAAATTGCTTCGTCTAAGGGGTCAAGCTCCATACTGAGTCAGTACAATATTGTACTTTTTCAAGACAATGTTGTACTTTTTCAAGACAATGTTGTACTTTTTCAAGACAATGTTGTACTTTTTCAAGACAATGTTGTACTTTTTCAGAACAATGTTGTACTTTTTCAGAACAATGTCTCTCAAATTTGAGTACAGCTGTACTTTTTCAGAACAAGTCTTGAACTTTTTCAGAACAATGTTGTACTTTTTCAAGACAATGTTGAACTTTTTCAGAACAATGTTGTACTTTTTCAAGACAATGTTGTACTTTTTCAAGACAATGTTGTACTTTTTCAAGACAATGTTGTACTTTTCAAGACAATGTTGTACTTTTTCAAGACAATATTATATTGTTTCAGAACAAAGACGGTTAAGACACAAACGAATGTCCGACGTCCCACCTACTGAACCCGTTCCACAGCCAGAAGAACAGCATGCTCCAGCACCACAACAGGTTCCACCTCCACAAGGCTCCCACAGCAACCTCAGTTCCAACAAGGACCTCCGAATTACTACCAATTTCCACCTCAAGGTTACTACCCACCACAAGGCTTTACTACCCACCACAAGGCTTTCCAAACTACCCTCCTCAACCCATGCCTTACTTCCCTAACCCTTGGATGTTCATGTCAAACCCTCCACCCCAATTCCAATCTCAATCCCAATCGAAGAGAGACCAAGAGTTCGAAGAAGGTCTGAACCGTTTACGCAAAGAGTATGCCACAGCCCCTATGGAAGATGACAGGCTTTCAGTCTCTTCCCTAAGGTCGACCAATTCGACTCGTACCACAGATTCGGTTCGTGACCGTGAAGACTACCTCAAGCAGTCTGAGAGACTCTTCATCTACAGCCATTTACAGTTGGAGCTCTCAAGAACATGCGCAATTACGAAGGTCAGACACCAGCTGGAGACCGCAAAACAGACGTACTCGCAAGAGCAGTCCAACTGGTCAAGACAAAGACTGAGATAGTCGACTTCATTCTTGCAGCTTGCCCATACAAGTAAAAAAATAAACAATTACGAGTTAAACTTTTTACTCTTTCTTTTCTGAGTTGTTTAGAGCTGGTTTCTCTTGTAGAAACCTTTCGTACTCTTCCATGGTCATGTAATTGCGAATTTGGTACGCAATTCCAGGTTCGTTGTTTTTGAACCTTACGTATGTAACGCTTCCATCCTCCTCAGGGAAGTAAGCTGCTAACATCTGACCAAGTTTTCTCGGTGACTCGGAGCTCATAAAAATGTCACTTTTTAAACGTTAAGTTTTTAGTTTATTTTACCCTTTGTTTACCCTTTGTTTGTCAAGGTAGTATTGGAGTGCAATTTCTCCAAATTCTCTGTGTCGGAGTTCTTCAGCATTTTCCAAGGTGTACCTGGAGAACTCAAAGAAGTTGTCAAGAACATACTGCCATGCTGCTCTTCTGAGTTCGTCGGTATTTTGGAAGTGTTGCACCTTCGAGTCTTCGGACATGAAAAAATAACACTTTTTCTATTAAACCGTTTACAATTTGAATTTTGTTGCTGAATTCGGCAAAAATATAATTTAGGGTAGAAGGTTAGATATAACCTCTTTTCTAACCTCTTTTCTACCTCATGAATTTTCATGAATTTTATACAGAAAATGCTTGTTTTGAGGTCGAGCCACTTTTGGCTCCACCGTATTCTTTCAACCAAAACTCATGAATTCGGCAAAAATATATTTTAGGGTAGAAGGTTAGATATAACCTCTTTTCTAACCTCTTTTCTACCCTCTTGAATTTGTCATGAGTTTTCCCGAAATAAAAAATAAAGTTGGTTTTTTTAAAAAAATATTTTTTTATTTTTATTGTAAGAACATGTTAGCAACAACAGCACCAAACTCGTTAGTCATGAACCCAACTTCAATGTTAGTAGAGATGAAAAGCTTCATTCCTTCTTCATATACTTTCGAAACAAAAATCCAGAAGATAAAGCAAGAACTTTTAACAAGTAATTTAGACTGTAGTGCGAAAGATGAAACAAATGAACAGTATCTTTATGAAATGCAGGATATTATTGACCATTTACCCAAATTGCCTGAAATCCAACAACAAAAACTTACTATTCCAGAATTCGATGAAATAGAAGTCAAAGCAACTGACTCAGTAGAAATAAAGAAGTTCATACGAAAGGTTAACTATGAGTTTCTTGGATTTCATTGCAACCACAAAGTCATGGACAAAGATTGCGATATGGTATATAAGAACATCTCTGACATATACAAATCTGGGGAGTTTAAGACCTACGACAACTTTGTTTCGTTAGTTGCAAAATGTGTATGGCAGATAAGAGATAAAGATAGAGGAGTAAGTATGGAACGAACAGATAAAACCCGCAACTTTTGAGTTAAAGAGAGCAATTGACGCCTTAGTCATACTAGCAGGTAAGTTTCAGAATATAACGCAAAAATGAACCCACAATGTTCAAAATGTAAAGCAGCAATGAGGAAATATAACTACTCCGTCAAAGAGATAGAACGTATGCGAAACGACTATGCTGACTTAAAGAAAGAAGTAGAGAAACCAGCAGAAGATAAAATGGACATGTTGACATTTCTGAACAAAAACTATCCAACAGCTGACGATTTCCTTCTATCTGATGTCAAGAAGAAATATAAAGAAACTTCGGCATTGTTAAAACATTCGATGTACTGACAGAAGAAATAGAAGCTACGAAATTGTTTAGAATTTCACGAATTCACAATGTTTACCATGTAAAACGCTTATAAAATAACTGGGGTAGAAAAGAGGTTAGAAAAGAGGTATATCTACCTTCTACCCTAAAATATATTTTTATTGAATTCTGAGTAAAATTCTGAGTAAAATGACATATGGAACACGTACTTTTTCAGTAAGGACATATGGGGTAGAAAGAGGTTAGAAAAGAGGTTATTAATCTAACCTTCTACCCTAAAATATATTTTTTTGCTGAAAAAAATGACCAAATTTCATGAAATTTCTCTAGACCGACTTTTACAGGGGTAGCCAAAACTCTATGAAAACAGTGAAAAAATAACAGAGTATTTTGACAACTTCAAACAAGCAGAGTAAATGAACCATTTATTTTTATTGACTTTTTACAATTTGAACTTTGTTCGCGTAGATGTGAATTCTGAAAGAAGTATGAGGGTCTTGTATGACTTTGTACTTCTCCCATAGTTCATGTCTGTCAAACTTACCTGCCATGGACTCTTTCATAAGTTCCATGAAATCGTCTTCGGACAATCCAGGGAAAAGTACAATGTCAGTAAGTATTCTCTTTACATCCTTACTTAAACTCTTGGCTGTCTGTACACAAATGACAACTGAAATGTTAAAGTGTCTGAGCTTCTTAAGAATTCGACACATGTCTTGTTCTCTGTTCTTTAACAAAGGATGAGAAGCAAAGTCATCTAAGATAAGAAGACATCTATGAGGGTAAGTCTTCCAATCGTACGATTGCAATTTCTTCGAAATGTATTCTATCTCTTTCTGTTTGTTTCTGAAGTGTTTCTTCTCTAATATTCTCTGCATTTCCTCATTTGGGTCTTTAAACTTCGAATTATATACTCATTTATAGCATTGTACTTCAAAACTCTTCTTTGGTACTTCTTTATCCAATCTAACAACTCAGAGTCTTTTATACATACTAACTTAGACTTCTTTATAATATCTTTGAACGAATTGACGGTTTGGTCAAATTGACCAGAAGTACTACAAATGACTACTAACTCATAGAATGGGTTCTTCTCATCTAGTTCTTGTTGTTGTGCAGCCATTTTAAGATAAGTGAAAGTCTTACCCGACCCAGGTGGGTGCAATTAGACCTGTTATACCATTCTGAGCAAATAAGAACTTGTCATGTATGGGTTTTATCTGAGCATTTTCCAACTTCCTCTTGTTCTTATTTAAAACATTCTCAAATTTCTTGTCAATGTCAGCAAACTTTTTTTCTAAATATTTTTAGAAAAATTAAAAATTTTATCTTTTAGAAAATGTCTAGCGATTTCGCTATCTATATTCGAGACAACTTTTCGACTCAAAACATCTGTCGACCATAAAATCTTACATAGTGTAAACAAGAAAGGTGAATTTGTTCTAAAGTTCTGTTTCTGGGAATATGACAAGAACCATAAAACAACAAAGAGCAGTCTTAAAATTTGTCAATGACAGACTTGTTGACAGAGATGACCCTTGGAAAGATGAAGTCCAACAAAAGTTCTTAGAATGCAAAGAAGACACATGCGCTGTTCTTGAAGATGAAATAGGAAACAGAATAGAAGAGCTATTAAAGGACAAAGAACTTTTACATAAATATGGTTGCGCCAAATTTGACATAACTCCACCAGAAAGAAGAAGAAGAGAGAAAGAAAGAAAGAGAAAGTAGAAGAAAAGAAAGTAGAAGAAAGAAGAAAGAACCAGCCTTCCAGAGAAAAAGAAATTTGACATGTAAAAATAAAATTTTATTTTTAGAACATTTCTGGGTCAATGTCAATGTTCTCTTCCTCTTTAGGGGCAAACACTGGCTTAGACTCTAAAATCTTTTTACCTAATTTACCTTGAACTTCAACTATCTTAGACTCATAATATTCATAGTCGTCTGCTTCTTTGGTTCATAAGGTATAACAAGTTTGTATGCTTTGCCTTCTTTAAGGTTGAGAACCTTCTGTCAAAATTTTCTTTGACTGCTAACAAACCTTCTATGTCTAAGTCTTCAAATTTCGCACCATTTTTAGTCACAATAGCAAACTTAACTGGTTCGATGTTCCAAACTTTGTCAAATGTAGACTTTTCAAAATGGTAGAAGTAAACATTCAAATATATGAATGGGTCTAGTTCTTCTTTGACTTCTGTCATGTACTTGTTGACTGAAATATATTTCGTCATCTTTTCTATCGGATAAAAAAATATTTTTTTTAAATTTACTCAGAAAAATTTTTCTTTGTATATACGCCGTTCTGAACATCTAAAAGATTTTGACATTTGCCAAGAATGTACGTTTAGAAGCTGCCATATAACCATACTCTTGACAATATTGTTTATATGAATCGTACAATGACCTTTCATCTAAACACTCAAAGTTAGTCTCATCTATAAACAGTTCATATACACTCTTGTTTGCTTCTAACAATGTTTGTCTTTCTTCGGTATGTGGAATTTGTCTTGGATTGAACTTTGAAATATCTAATGTCATGAAATATGAGAACAAGTGGTTGTAAAAGTTAGGTGTCAAAGTTTCTGCTAAGTCGTCAAAATATTCTGTATCTTGCATATGAGAATCTGACGTTCTGACAACTACATATCTTCTGTCAGAACTTTCTAACTTCATCGGAACGCATTGTTTGAAACCATGAATGAAGTTTGCAACATTTTCACAAACTCTTTGGTCTTTATATTTTTTTCAACAACTCCAACTTTGTCTGTTATAAGACTCTTCAAAGCATCTGAGTTTAAAACTTTGTTGTATCTATACTTTGAAGTTCGTTACATACTATAAGTTTCATATTCTCTATTGAAGAGTTAAATTTACCGCAGATGTTTTCTAAGTTTGTCATATTCGGGTTCGAATAGCCCTCTAACAGTTTGCATAAAATATCTGTAAAGAAAGTGTTCTTACCAGTTCCTTGTTTTCCAATTATAATGAGAGCAGTTTCATTTTTAGCACTTGGATGTTGTAAGATGTTTGCAAACCAACATAAGATATACTCATAGACTCTTTCGTTTCCATTGCATATAATTTCTTTGACATGGTCTAACCAAGCTTCTATAACATTTTCTTTCCATTCTACTTGTTCGTATTTATATCCAGTGAAGATAGAATAGAAGTTTGGAGATGGTGTATAGAACTTTATACCACGAACTGAAAAATCTTCTAACTTTGACAATAAGATATCCCAAGCATCTAACATCTTCATACCAACTTGTACGACTTTTATTTTCTTAAGTTTCTGTCTACATTCTTGTTCTGAAACTATGGTTGCTCTTGGTTTGTTAAAGACAACATCCCATTCTTTCATGACATAACATTCTGGGGCAGAGTCGACATAAATGACTAAACGTTTCAAATTCTCGACTGCTTTGTTATAGTCTCTAAATGGACACATATTTCTGAACGCTTGGAAGTCATAAAAATCTGAAACGTCTATTCTGTACATTTTTATAAAAATAAAAAAAAATATTTTTTTTATTCTTGACTTTGTTGTTGCATTTGTTCCATTTGTTGCATTTGTTGTTCTTGAGCTATTTGTTGTTGAAGTTGTTCTTGTAGTACAATACTTTCACCAGTTGCATCTTCCAATTCGAAACTTTCTGCCGTCATTGACAAATACATAGGACATAAAAGTTTTACAGGAACAAAGTTTGCGTCAACTAAGGTTAAGTTTATGTTTGCTAAAGTGTTTGAGTTTACTAAAGCTGAAAACTCTGCATTCGAATGAACAATAGGCAAACCAGCAGAGAAAGTGTTGTTTATACGCATGAGTATCTTTTGGTCATAGTAGTTTCTGTCGACATTCGAATAGCACTTTGAACCTAAGTTTGAAACAATATATAAAATAGGTGTACTTAAAGTCAATGGAACAGACAAACCTTGTATGACACCTTTTCCTGTTATAGGAAACTGTTGGTAGTAAAAACCAGATATAAGTTTTGTATTATAGCTCATATCGTTTATACTAAACTCAGTCGGACATCCAAACATAATGAAACCTGCTCTAGTTGCAGCACATGTTACATCCGTCCTTAAAGTATTAAATAAGTCAACAAAACCTGTTGGTGGTATATCTGAGTAAGTATCTTCAAAGAAGTATTTTTTACCATTCACAACAACAAAGTCTTCTGGTGTCAAAAGAGCAAAACAGGCTTTAGTCGTCATCGTGTTTAAGGTCAGTTTACAATATCGTCCTTGAGGACTTTGTAAGTTTGTTGTTATAGAATTATATGACTCAGGGTTTTTAGTCGTAATAGTATAAACCACTATGTCTTCTGCCATTTACTTAGCAAGTAAATTTTAATGAAATGTTGTGGTCGTCAAATATTTTTATGACGTCTGGGAAACTATATTTTAAGTTCAACGTTTCACCTCCTTTCATAACGTATATCTTGTCAATGACATTATATGAAACACCACAGCAAGCAATGTCGGGTTCTATTTCTTTGATGTTTATATCGTCTGCCTCTGTCAAAAGTTTCAATAGTTCTTTCAAAATTCATGAGGTGCGATGACATATGAGTTCACTTTTACAGGGTTGTGTTCGACCAAGTTTAACATTATACCCAAAGCTTGACAAATCTTCTCCTGAGTTTTAAGTTTGTCTTTAAGTTGTTGGTAGTCGTTTCGAATATCTGCAACAGAACTTAAGTCTCTGCTAACTTCAGGATATGTTGGTTGTTCTTTTACAGGAACTATTGTTATACCATCTTCGTCTTCGTATGGTTTCCCCACTTCAACATCTCTTTCTTTGACATTGACAACAACACTTTGACTGTTTGTTTGAGTTGGTGAATTTAACTTCACATCTGCCACCGCCATTAAACCTTTTGAAACACTTACGCTTCTATTTTTCGGAAATGACATTTTACTTAGAATAAAAAGATGGACGTATTTGAGTATCTCTTCGAATTGAAGCAAAACAAAGTTTACACACACAAACAATACAAATACATTGACAGAATAGTTCTTTATACAAACAATGGAAAATGTTATAGAATAGCAGTCTTTGCTGAACCAAAATATTTTCATAAAGCAAAGAAAGTTGGTATAACCGAATGGTGAAAGTTCTTGAAGCAGACAAAAATATAACAACAAAACTGACCGATATTTCTAAAGGTAAGTTTATAATACAATATTATGTCAAAACTGGCGTACTGTCAATATTTGACGGAGAGAAGTCAGTTCAAGAACAACTTACTGACCTGCTGCCAAAATCTGCTCGATGGAAGCTGTCGTTATGCCAATCTGAGGAGCCCCAGCAGGTTTCATCGAACGAATCTTCAAAAGAGCATCTTCCGTGAAAAGTGCTATTGGTTTTGTAAACTTCTTTGCTTTCAATTCATCTGGACCGTCTCTGTCACCAGTATATTGTATTTGAACTGTACCAACAGTTGAAATACCACCCATAAAGTCTTCTGAGTCAGCAAATGGAATGCCAAGCCAAAAGTTTGAACGGTCTCCATTTGTATATTGAGTTTTTTGACTCCTGTATGAGTCCATACTTTCACATATGGCATAATAGAACTTTGCATTTCAGGGTTAATGGTTGTTGTGAAGTTGTTGTTAAAGTTCATAGCATCTAATGTCAAGTTGTATGACCTCATATCCTCAACTGTAGAATATTCTTCTCTTGGATAGTTTTGCCATCTATGTTTATATGGTATTTAATACCAGGGTTGTAGAAGCAAGAATAGTCATTTATAGTTCGTCTGAACAGTACAAACATAGTATCTGCATGTTTCATTGCAGTTGTTAAAGCAATATCTGTTCTTGCACCTGGGTCAGCACTTTGGTTTCCAACTTCACCTGCAAAGTCTTTGACAGATATTTGGTGTATAGGGAACATAAGTGGAACTGCAATATATTTGGCAGCTAAAGCATTTGAAATATCTGGGTCCAACATATAGACTGCAAGTCTGCTTTCTATTCTCTTGCATTCAAACTTTTCGCATGTGAACTTAACTGGGTCCCAAGCATCTCCAGCAGCATTGAAATAATAGTTTACTTCAGTGTTGAGGTTTGAGAAACCAAAGTCTAAGTCAACTTTGTTTTTGCAAAAGTCGGCGAATGACTTTTATTTGTTCCCACTACTTCTGTAAGAGTGAATGGGTCTTGTGTTGGTGCAATGACTAAGTTATTTTTGCTTGGAGTAAGTTCGATAGAAATTTTTCCTGCCCAGTTTGGCAAGTATCTTAAAAACCTGAAGATGAGGAAAGATGACAAAGGAACTCTAAGTTTCAGTTTTACTTTGGTTACTGCTGCTGCAGTTTGTCCAGAAAGGTTAACATAAACTCCTGGAACGTTAGGGTCAAGTCTTCTTATTTTCTCAATAGTTGCATACTGGTCTGTTTGTTCTCTAGCTTGTGGTTGTACTGAGTTTCTCAAAGCGAACCATTCATAGTTTGCCCATGTTACTGTTTGAACTAAGTCAGAGTTAGAATATATCTTATATCCCATGAAAACTTCTGGAGCATATTGGTATCCGACATAGAAAATTCCATTGCAACCTTTCTTGTCAGACAACTTGGCAGAAGGTTTTATTTCAATGTCTTGTTCCACGTATAAGAAAGAGTTGTCAATAGAAATTATATGAAACCTGTCGCAAGCAATATCTACTGTTGTTGAAGAACCTTCTCCAAACTCACCTACGTTTCCATAAGAAACAGCAGTTGTATATTCGTAAGTTCCAGGAACTATTTCTGACCTTCTAATGGCATTGTCGCATTCGTTATACCATTCGGAAACATTTCCATTCATAGCATCCAAAACTGTTGGCGTTATATTCTGAGCGGCGTACATTTCATATGAGTAAAAATATAGAATAGTTGGATTTATATGTCATAATAGAACCCACTGACCAAGCTTTACTTTCTTCCTGACTGAGTTTTTAACTCTTCTTTTTCCTTCATTGCCCTCTGCTTGAAGTTGTTGCATCTTTGCATTATGTTCATCTAGTATGTTGCAAATTTCCCATGTCCTTTTTGCCTTTTGGCTCTGGTCGCCCATCTCAGGTAACCTATATCCTAGAAAGAGTTTGTCATAGTCTGTATTTGAGTCTTCGCGTATTGTTTGCATGACTCTTTCCTGAGTTTCCGGTTCAAGCTCTTCAAACAGTGCCTGTCCATATGGAATATGCTCGTTTCCAAATATATGTTTTTGTAGCCATTCTGGTTTTCTTTCCATGTTACCAACTATATCTTTTGTGAATGGGAAAGCTTCTACCCAATCTTTCAGTCTTGCGTCGTTTATTTCTGTAGTTGGTTTTATTTTGTCAAGGAACATGTTTTTCAATACTAACATTTCATTTGGTACTGTCCATTTGAGTTTTCTTAAATATTCATCCCTTCTCAGTTCATTGTCTGCAAAGTAAGTTTTTATGACATTTTGTAAACTTTCGTTTGCAAGGTCATGTACAATAGGTTCTCTTCCTTCTCTCTCCCTAACTTTCTTTCTAAACTCTTCACCAAATATACCATCTCTATGGTTCTGTGTAGTTCTTTGAGATAAATGTTCTAGAACGTCAGGTGTTATATTTCCATCAGCCATGTTCATTTCATACTGGTCCAAAATATCTGCATCTTTCATATCTTTCAATGGCATTAAAGCCGCGCTGAAAATACCAGCTATATCTGGTTCACCATTGACTTCCATTGCGTCTACAACTTCTTGGAATTGAGGTTGTAAGTTTATGAACCACCTATCCGGGTTAGCTTTATGACCCCATCTCATTGTCGTTCCATCGTCTGCAGAAACAAAAGTAGGTTTGTTTCCATCTTGGTTAGGTTCTGAATGAACTTTAAACAATGTTTCATTTCTATATGTTTTCTTGAAATTTAACCTTTTATCTTCACCGAGTTCATCCGAAGATTGAACGTTAAATGCTCGTAAGTAAAAAGGGTTGTTGTATTTGTGTACATTTTTTTTCAGTTCTTCCATTCTATGCTGGATATTTTCATCTGGTGTTGGAGTCTTTTGTATGTCGGCAAACATTTTTCGATATTCTTCTACTATGTCAGCCGAATTTTTTTTAGACTCTTGGAAATATTCCATATTCTCCGCATACTCTTGTTGAGGGTCAAGATTTTTCGGCTGTTCCAAATCTTCATCTAGTTCTGTGAAGTTAGTTTCCAAAGGAAGGACTTGTTCGTTTCCTTCAGGCTCTTCTAGCTTTGTTGCTGAACTATTTCTTCCATGTCTGGTTGTATCTGAACTATTCTTCCTGTGGAGTTTCTTGTACCTCATCTGCTGGCATTTCATATATTCCGAGACCGTTTTCAACAAGTTCCCTTTCTAAGTCATCCGGACTCATAAACCTTTCTTCTTTCGTTCCGTCTCTATTTTTTACGCGTTTCATGAAGAGAGTTAAATTGTCATTTAGCTCTGACATCAAATATCTCGGAGTAAATTCGTTCATGTCATTTGGATGATATGCTATTAAATCATATCCCTTAGCGAGCTTGTATTTTCCAGGTTTGAAATTATATCCCCTTTGGTGCAGAGCCATAAAGCTAAATAGGTTCGGGTCAGTATTTCCATCCTTGAACTTTCTAATAGCTTCTTTATATCTGTCACTAAAGTCAATACTATCTGGGTAACCATAGTCTTCTTTAAGCATTTTTAAGAATTCTTGGTTTCCTTGTTCTCTACTTCTTTTATGTCCTTGCTCTGTTTGTGGTTGTTGTTGTGCTGGTTGTGGTGCAGTGTTTTGAACTGTTGGTTGTTGTGTTGGTTGTTGTGCTGGTTGTGGAGGTGGTTGTTGTGCTGGTTGTTGTGCATGCCTGTGTCTGTGTCCATGTGACGATGTAAATGTTCTAGGTAGTCCTGGTGCAGGTGCTTCTCTTGGAGGGTTTGGTGGTATATAAGTTCCACCAGCTGGCACATATGTTCCATCTGCAGCGTAATGTCCTACCTGACTTTTCGTTTTTAAGAAAGCATTTACTAGGTCTGTTTTGGTCTGTTGTAACTCTTTTTCTTGACTTTCACAACAGTTGCTCTAACGGCGTCATAGGCACTTTGAACTGCCTGTCTCGTTGCTGCATCTGTTATTTTCGTCATATTTTGTGCTACTTCTTTAACTCTTTGTCGAAACCTTCAGACTTCAGTTTCTTTCCAGATGAGAAGTCGTTCACTTGTTTCACCTTACTATGAAGAGCTTCGAAAGCGTTCTTAAAGTCAGCATTTGTTAAAGCTTCATTTGAACTATCTTCATCCGCTTGTATTTTTGTCCTTATTGACCCTATGAGTTGGGCTGCTTTAGCGTTGGCTTGGGCATCTAACCAGTCATTGTTAGCTTTTATATATTCTGCACTTTTCATTGCCTTTTGCATGGCTGCGTCGTTATTTTTACTTTCTTGTGCTAAGTTTTCATACTGTACGGTTTGGTTTTGCAACTGTAAAAGTTTTTCTGCCTTTACATTTGCTTCAACTTCTTTTTATACTCATCGCTATCCATATATGTCTTCAGGGCTTTTTGTTTTATCTCTTCATCTTTCAGTATTTTATATTGAGTAGTATGGTTTTTCAAATTTATGACATCTTGTTCCATTTTTGCTACTTCTGCTGCTTTTTCTGACACTTTTTTCGCATATTCCTCTGTACTTAGTTCTTTCAGTTGTTCTTCTTTCTTCTTTTTCTCTACGTTTAACTCATTGAGTTTCTTTGTGTGTCTGTCATATTCTAGTTTCTTTTCGTTTTCACTTATTTGCTTCTGTATGTCTATGTTTGACTTTTTGACATCTGTTATTTGATTTTTGAGTGAACTCAAATTCATTTGACTTTGAGGGTTATAAGCTGTTCCGTCTGCAGCTCCACCATAGCCTGCCATTTTCGCTAAAAGTGCCGCTCTTAAACCTCCACTCTGTGCACCAACAACTCGGTTTAAAAGCATAGGATTGCTTGACATTTGTTGCAACATAGTGGGGTCATTCAGCATTTGTTGTTGCAACTGTTGTTGTGGTGTCAGTTTTACTATTGGATGTTTCAATGCTCTCTTCCTCTTACGTATATTCTTACGTAGCTTACGTGGCATTTTAAGTGAAGTTAAAAAGCGGTTTTTGACAGATGTTTATATGACACTTTTTGTTCAGCACAAAAAACTACTCGGTCAAAGTGTTGTCAGTTTTGTAAAATAACCGTCCTATCTCATTCTATAAGGGGGAAAGTCTTCTCAAAGTATACTTCCTTGGAACGCCTGTAACTTTTCCTGTAGCGACGATAGACCCTTACTTGTCCGGACAAAGCTGTACTATTTTGAGTGCTCTACAAAAAAGTCAACGGCTACGACTCTCAAAAACCGTTGTGTAAAAAGTTTTACCGTTGGACAAAAAAGTATATATAGAAAACAAAAACGTTTATAGTTCATTCAATATTTGAGATGGAACGGTTTGCCAACGGTAACTATTAAATAAAATAAAAAAATAGAGGGGGTTACCGTTGACGAAAACGGTTTATTTTAAACTTTTCTATGAGTAGTCCGAAAAAAACAGTTTATTTTTGTCTAATGGAAGCCAACATTAACAATTCTCAACCGCTAACCAAAGCCAAAGCCCCACAACCTCCAAGAACTGGCACAGCTGTTAGAATAACCGCCAAAAAGTCTAACAGCGAATTAAGAGAAATTCTTCAACAAATTTGCTCTAAATATCTCAAAGACGCCGAAGAAAACACACAACCAGACGCTATATACAATACTCAGTTCTGTGAAGTTCTGAACAAAGCAATTGCTAGTTCAATTGAACTTACTAAGACAATTCCAAGTCCAATTGAGCTTAGCGATGTCTTAGTTCAGTATTTTCCAACATTTACTAAGCTTATAATGTTGAGAACTTTATACCAAGTTCGTCAAAATCTTCCTCGTTACATGCAACGGTCATTCGACAAGAGAATTGCCGAATTCCAAGTCTTTAGTTACGGATATGACCAAGATGAATACATTGACGAGTTCGGAGACAACTGTACAAAATGGTTTGACTGCTATACGACTACACAATTTGAATTCGACTTTCTCGAATTCAACGCAGCAACCATTTATATCATTGCTCTTTACCTTTCCGAACAACAACAAGACCTCGCAGATGGAGATGTTGTTACTGTCGTCATGGAAACTCCTGAACAATTCGGAAAAAAGAAGTCTCTAATTGCCAAATTTGTTCCAGGACATCAGCTTTTCCAACGCACAGAAGTCTTCTGTATTCCTGGAACTAAGTTCTTTGTCAAGAGCGAACTCAAACAAAGATATAATGTGTCATTCAATTACACATTATATAATGTTTTCGACCCAGAAGAAGACTTCTTCCCAGAAGCAATGGAAGAGGAAGAAGAAGAGAAACACGAAGAAGAGAAACACGAAGAGTCCTCCGAATTCACACCAGAAGACTAACAATTTTCCGAATAAAAACCTCATTTTATACTAAACATCTTCGGGGCTAGAAGGGGCGCAGCCCCTGGAAGCCCCACTACCTTTTGATTCAAATTGGCTTCTTGATTCTGAACAGAATTTAATACTTGGTATAAACGTGATTGAACTTCTCTTTTCAATTTTGTTTTATAATCTGTCAATCGAGGCTCGCGAATTCTAATTGAAGGAATAAAACCTGTTTGAAGTAAATCGTTTTTAATACGATAAAAGTAATTGGGTGCAACTTCTTCTAAAAGATTTTTGACAAAAACATCAATTCTTTGATTTTTAACGCAGCCAAAATCGTGATATTTTATCTTTTTAAATAAAGATTCAGAAACGTTATTCACAACGGTTAATTCATTTGGTCTGGCAGCGGCTATCCACATCATAGCCAACAATTCCTTATACAAAATTCAAAAACTTGGGTGCAATCAGAACTGATTGCACCCAAGTTTTTGAACTTTCTTGAGGGAATTAAAGGGTGAGAGATTTATAGTCTATCTATATATCTCCCACCCTCTAATTCCCTCCCTGACAGCGGGAAACTTTGTCTGAATGTTAAACTATTCAGACAAAGTTTCCCACTGTTTGCGAAGGAATTGTTGGCTATGATGTACTGATTCATGATCAGTACATCAAGCCAACAATTCCTTATATAAAGTTCAAAAACTTGGGTGCAATCAGAACTGATTGCACCCAAGTTTTTGAACTTTCTTGAGGGAATGGAAGAGTAAGAGGTATACATTATGAATATATACCTCTTACCCTTCCATTCCCTCTCTGACAGCGGGAAACTTTGTCTGAATGTTAAACTATTCAGACAAAGTTTCCCGCTGTCAGCGAAAGAATTGTTCCATCTGGTGCATAGAGTGTGAATCTATGCACCAAATGGAGCAAGTCCCTCGCGAAATTGCCAAAACTTGCGTCGCATTTCAAAGATTGCGACCCAAATTTTGGCGATTTCTAGTAGAGATGGAGTATTTGAGTCACTGACCTATATGCAGTGGCTCAAAGGGCTCCATCTCTACTTTGAAGCAAGGAAACTTTCCTCGAAATTTTGATAATTTGAAGAAAGTTTTCAAGCAATTAACAAAGGATTACTCGCTATGAGGTAAAAATTCTAGATTTTCACCTCATAGCGAGAGCTTCCCTTTCATTGCTTGAAAACTTTCCCCAGCTTCAAAATTGGGGAAAGGGCTGTAAAGTCGACTCCGATACCAGCAGGTACCAGAGTATTTAAAAGAGAAGCCCTCGTACGAGTTTCTATGAAGACCTTCTCATTCAAGAAGATCTTAATAGAAAATCGTACGAGGGCATTGGAAACTCGCGTCTGGTACATGTTGGTACCAGAGTGTTTGAGATTTGAAGACTCTGGTACTAACATGTACCAGAATTTATGATGAATTTAAGATGGACCATTATAAAATGGTAGCGGTTTGTTTCAAAAAAATTTAGATGAGATTTGCATAGATATAGATTATATGATTTATACATATGAAAAATAATATATAAAAATATAATTTTGAGATAATTATGTAAATAATATTTTAAATATTTGAATTTGAGGTATAATTAAAAAAAAAAAAAAAAA